TGTTTTTTCTTGCTCTTGCTTTTTGGTTTTGCTAGTGTCTGTCTAGAATGAATATAATAAGAGCTCTCCATGAAAGCTATGAATATAATAACAGCATTGTTCATATCAGATTGGATCCTTTCTTCTTGCTCATAGTAGATGGAAAGACATTGTCTGTTTCTTATATAGTTCAGTCATCACAAAAGATTAGTCACTTTGTACATATGTGGTAGTCTCAATTATAAGGACATGTATAAATCATGTATATATGGTGGTAGTTTCTATTGAGAAAGCATATTCTCTTTTTAGGCTTGTTAAAATTGATATTGGGAAGGCCCTTACATGCTCTGCAAGTTTATTATATCGCTGCTACTTGAAATACTTGAAATCTCATGACTTTGGTTTGGCACCCAGTAGTTGCTATACGATATTGGGCATCCTTAAATGTTAATATAAGAATAAGATTTAAACCCAGTGCAAATTTGAGCAAAAACTGGAAGAATAGAAGCTCGAATCATCATCCATGGAGATGAGTTGAGAGAAGAATCATTATGTGTTATGATGTTTATATTTCTTATTAGTAGGCATCTGTTTTTATATGGACTTTGTTTGATTTTGATTTTGCAATATGTGATTTTTTCCTGTATGCTAATTAGTGATGGACGAGAATGTGCGTGTGAGGTGGACAAGAATGTTTTGCGGTTCACAACTTCATACGGAAGGAAGGTTTAAGTGATGAGTTATTTTCCGAGTATGATCAAACCAACGAACAAGGAAACGAAGACGAGGATGAGGCTGAAGAGATTCAATTGCATGGGAGTGCCGCTGACCAAACATATATGGCTAGTTTAAGAGAAGAAATTGCGACACAATTAATGCAAAATGAATATTAATTCTAGTTGTTACGAGACTTTGTTCGTGTTTTCTATTGTGTGTTGAATCAATTRACGTATTTCAATTAAATTTTTGAATGTGTTAAAAATACATGGTAGTTTACAAATGATTTAAATGATTGGATATTTCAGTTAAATTTAATTGAAATGAATTGATCTAGATTTCAGACTTCAGAAGTTTGTCAGTTTACAAAAACAAACAGTCTTATTGATTCAGATTTCAGACTTCAGACGTAAAAACAAACAATCTGACTGATTCAGATTTTAGATTTCAGATTTCGGACGTAAAAACAAACAGTCTGATTTATTCAAATTTCAAACTTCAGCACCACCTCTTAAAAATCAGAAGTGAATTCAGACTTCAGCACCTCTTAAAAACAAACGCCACCTTACCCACAAATTACAGTAAACAACCCCTTATTGTAAATAAACGAAGTAGTTTGTTAATCTTGTTAAAATGACGCATGTTTTTGCAAAAAGAACTTGCAGATTCGTTATTTGTTCAGCTTATCCAACGGTATTTTCATGAAAAAAAAATTACAACAGCCAGAAAATGTACGAGTGGTCAAAGTGTTTATATAGGAACACGTCTTATAATATCAAATGTGCTTTTTAGAGTTCATAGAAGGGTACTCGTGCAATGCAGCGAGATAAATTTCGATATTAATGTTTAGTTTTATTCTTTGTCTCTATCGATGTAATACGATTTTATGTGGTTTTGAGAGAACGTTAATGTTTTTATTTTTGAATGAAATATAAATTTGAAGATAACATAAAAATTTGAAAAAAAATAAATCGACAGTAGTATCAAATTAACTATTTAATAGTTCTCGTTTTTTTTTTTTTTTTTTGTGTAATTTTTTTAATTCAATTTTCAATTTAGATTTAATAATAAACAAATTTATTTTTAGTTTAATAATATAATTTTTTATAAAGATAATAATTTAACATCCGGTTATAACTCAATGATTATCTTAATTATATTTTAGATTTTCTATATTTAAAATAGATGTTTATTCCATATTTGATTATATTTATCTGTAGTTAGTTACATAAATTTAAAAATGTAGCTTTAATAAAGTGTAATTATGCAAAATTACCTGTAATCTTGAATTTTAAGTAATATGCATCAATAAACAGCACTTTATACATAAAAAACGGGTTTTAAGAGTTTTTGTCAAATACTTTATAATATGATTTACACATACGTGTATATAAACATGGTCGTGTGTATATACTTAAACATGTTTTCTATGCAATTTAGACATGTTTTTATATCTAACGTCGGGCGTGCTTATACTTTATGTATGTATAGATTATACTTTCACACTTTAAAGTCAAAACATTGACTCAATATTACAATGAGTGATATGTATGAATTCATGGTAATTTCAACAAGAAATTAATTTAGAATATATTATTAAAAACGTAAATATTTGATTTGAAAAAAGAAAAAATAATTGGAAAATATAATAATGATTAAAAAAAGTACATTGATTTAGTCCAATTAATGAAAAATGACGTCACCAAGTATCAAAGGTACAGATTTAGTCTCAGGTTTATCAAGTATTTTCAATATTATAAAATATTAAATATATATTGTTTAATTGTAAATATTTAAATATATAATTCAAAAAATTATATAAAAGACAACTGATTATTATATTAAATTAAAAGGGTATTCGCACAATGCAACAAACTATATCTCGATTTTAATGTTTCGTTTTATTTATTTTTTGGAGATGTTATAATACGGTTTTTATGTGGTTTTGAGAAAAAGATAATGATTTTATTTTTGAATAAAATATATATTTGAAGATATTATAAAATTTTGAAAATAAATATATCAATATTGATATCAAATTAACTATTTAAAAGTTTATGTTTTTTGTGTAATTTCTTTAATTTAATTTAGTTTAAATTTAATAACGGGGTAATTTGTTTTTGATTTAATAATATAATTTTTTAATAAGGATAACAATTAAATATTCTAATTATATTTTAATTTTTTTATATTTAAAATAAAATATTTATCTTTTATTTGACTATTTTATCTGTAGTTAATTACATGAATTCAAACATGAAGCTTTAACCAGTTGTATTTACGCATAATTTATTTGTAATATTTAATCTTAAGTGATATGTATCAATGAATAGTACTTCATGCATAAAAATGATTTTTAAGTCTTTCTGTCAAATGATTTATAATATAATATAAATATATATTTTCATCGGTATAATGAAAATGCTTTTATAGATAACTAGAAGGATATTCCCGCGATGCAGTGAGATAAATCTCGATTTTAATGTTTAGTTTTTATTCTTTGTCTTTATCGACATAATACGATTTTATGTGGTTTTGAGAAAGCGTTGATATTTTTATTTTTGAATGAAATATAAATTTGAAGATATAATAAACTTGAAAAAACAAAATCAATATTAATATCAAATTAACTATTAAATAGTTTTTTTTTCCGTGTAACTTATTTAATTCAAATTTTTATTGTAATTTTTTAGAACTCAATATTATCTTAATTATATTTTAGATTTTTTATATTTAAAATAAATGTTTATCTTATATTTGATTATGTTTATCTGCAGTTCGTTACACAAATTTAAAAATAAAGCTTTAATAAGTTGTACTTATGCATAATTACTTGTAATCTTGAATTTTAAGTAATATACATCAATAAGCAGTACTTCATATATCAAAATTGTCTTTAAAAATTTTGTTAAATATTTTATAATATAATATATATATATATATATTGTTTATATATATATATATTTTTTTTCTTTATTTGCAAGAAATTATAATATTATTTGTTTTTGGCACAATCAAACAAATTTGGGACCCGCGTCTCTCTCTTTCAACCTCCTTTCCTTTTTCTTGTGAAAATGGAAAGAATTGGTCAACTATGTTTACCCCCTAAAGTATTGTAATAGTGCAAAAATTACCCTCAATAATACTCTTTTACTTTTTAAGAAACCAGTTATCTAAAATACACATTGAATTACTTAACGTTAACGCCATAACGAACATATAGTAAATTGTTAATACGTAAAATACTTTTGATCGCAATACTTTCGAATATGTTAAAACATCTAAACGGTTAAAACCAAGTTAACATGCTGAAAAACATTCGTGATCCACATTTTTGTTATCCACTCTTACATGGTATAGCTATTATAGGAGGGTCTGTTTGTTAGCAACTTAATTAACGTAATAGAACTTATAGCTTATTTGGTTGGTTATACAAGACTGTTTGATAGTGATTTAATGGTATAAACAGTAACTTATTCAGTAACTTTCTAAGTGAGAGCTTTATGCAGAAAATCAAGTTTTTTCCGAAACTTGTCCATTCCAATAGAAAAAGATGTTTATTCCATCTATGAAAAACCTCTCTAAAACAAAACCCTTCCTAACTCATACAGACGGATTAATGCACACATATATATCTTTATCCACACATGATTTAATGGAAAACCAACCAAACAACCTTAAATCTTGTTTGCATAATTTTGCAACTAAAAAATTAAAGGGTTGTCTAAAGAAGGTTTAATTTCATGATCGGTTGCATATTTTTGTAACTTATTTCATGCAAATTATGAGAAATACTATTTTTCTGTTTCAATTAGTTGTAGTCTGTAAAAGTATTTTGTATACTTTTTTTTGATTAACCTGGATATCCAATGGCGACCACCTATTTCGTAGATAACCTTGAGTCACCGTATTTGAATCTCCGTGGCCACAAGAGGATTATTGTTCTTTCTTGGATTTGAATCTGAGACCTCCTGGTACTTTTGACCTTTGGAGCCAAGCTCAAACCAATCAAGCACCACCCTTGTGATTTACTTTGTATACTTTATGGTTTACATAACATGTTTTATTTTGTTTTTTGAAAAAAGAGTTATTCGATCTTCGATCATATCTCAATTTCGATTTTCAGTTTTTACAGAATTCTACAGAACAAAAAGAGGGAGTAAAGGGTAATTTAGTAAATTATAGTGGAGTTGACTGTAGTTCATATATAGAAATATAATACTAACCCTTGGACCTCTTTCTTTCACACCGTTAACTCTCAAAGGAAAAAAAAATGGGGGTTAAATAATAAATTACTCTCTCTCTTCCTCAAACCCCTTCTTTCTCTATCCTCTTTCTTGTTCTGCTTCATTTCTTCAGCGTCTCTTCGGTAACTGACACTTCTCTGTAAGAAAGCTGTAAATTTCCCGCCGGTTTCCGGCAGTTTTCCCCTTCGGTATGTCTTCTTTACACGCTATAACGTTTGTACTTTAAAGGAGTTTGATTTGAGCTTTTTTATGTTGTGACGAATTTGAGATAAATATAGAGATAGGAGGTAAAATACCCACCATTTGTTTGTTGAATCAGTTATTGTTTTAGGGTTCTTCTGAAATTGAGGTTGTTTTTATAAGTCTACTGTATTTCATTAAGTTTGATTTTGCCTTCAGGTGAATTGCAACAAAATTTGTTCGTTTTTATACACCCTTTTTGGTGTTTGTTTGTGGGTTGGTGTGGAATTTTGCTAATTTTGATTGTTGATGATGGAGATTTTTCATGGGGTTTGTAGCTGGTGATATTTGGCGTGGGTGTGTATAAAAACTAATACTTTTGATGGTATTGCTTATTGTTGTTATTCCCTGGATGTCTGTTTGTGTTTAGATGATGGATTTGAGAATCAGATCTATCTTAATGTTGAGTTGGGTTATTGGTGGTCTTGGAGGGCATAGGTTAGATGGACATGGAGGAGCTCAAATCTGAATTTTGATCCCTCTTTTGGTCATTAGCAACCATGCTAGGAAATGTATTAGATATGAAATCTTGTTAAATCCAGTTGAGATCATGTTTTTCCTGTTTGATGGATTTTATGATCAATATTGCCATTAAAGTTGAACCAGAATCCCTGGATTTTATACGCTTATTTAGGTGTGTGCTTTCTTGAAGTAATCATTGACGATGAAAGCATTTGATATTGAAGTTGGATTATTAATAATGGGCAGCAATCAAATGGAATTGGATTATTACCGGCTGTTTGGTTGGTTTTCCATTAAGTCCGGTATAGATAAAGTTGTCTGTGTGGATTAATCTATCTATATAGATTGGGCAGATTTTTGTTTGGAAGAGTTTTTATAGATAGAAGTAGCAAGTTTTTTATTCGGAGACACAAGTTTGGAAAAAACTTGGCTTTCTACATAAAGCTTCCTCTAGAAGCTTACTGAATAAGCCACCTTCTATATCATAAAGCCCCTACCAAATAGTCATGTATAGCTGACTGAATAAGCTGTGAGTCTCATTAAGCTCATTAAGATGCTAACAAATGTGCCATTAGTTAAGATATGCTGAAGGCTTTGAAATGGTTGGCCACACGAGCTTCTGATAAACTAATTTTAGAAAAAGAAGATTTAGTTAAATCAACCATCATATGGGGGAGGTGGAAGCGTTAACTGTTTTCTTTCTCTTGTTATGCTTAACTGAAACCCTAGGTTAAATGAAGTCAAGATAATGAACTAAATCAAACCAAACGAACCCACTATATCATATCCCATACAGAGGTAGGGTGTGGGGTATGTAGACCTTTCCTCTACCCTAAAAGGGTATATAGAAATGAAGTCAGGACAATGCAAGATGCAAAACATTTATATTTCATCATTTGTGGCAACACCAGTTCATGTGCTTGCATCTTAGCTCATCTATTCCATTGTAATTGTGTAGCTCATATACATAAGGTAAATCTCCCCTTATGCATTTTGCCTCATTTAACATGATCTTTATTTAACGCTTCAGGCCTATAACCATATAAAGGGGATTGAAACACTAGTCAACTTTACAATCGATTAGACATCACCGTATTTTACATCTATAAAAATAATTAGGAGTCCCCTCTTGATTTCGATCACTTTGAACTAGTAATTTTTTGATAAAAATTGAGACAAATGTTTGCATTTTTTAGCACCAAATATGAGAGTATGGTACGTTCTTTTGTAGTCCAATTTTAGTTATCATTTTTTTCTTCACAAGCCGAAAATGTTCTTTTATCAATTTTGAAGGACATTAACTATTGAAACTCAAAAATGAACTCTACTTCTTGGGCCAAAATGAGTACCAAACTTTTTAGTTATTCATCTTTTTCCCGTACCGATTCTTAGCATATGGATTTAAGAAATGGGAATATCAATGAGATGCCCAAGCCCCATAGATGGAACATCAGAAGATGCAACATCTCGGCGGATGCATCATCGTAGTGCCCAAGCCCCATAGATGGAACATCAGAAGATGCAACATCTCGGCGGATGCATCATCGTGCAACAAACGTCCGAGACTAATTAACCTTTTGAAATAATGGAAACATTACCGTCATATCCCATCTTCCAGACTTCACCAAATTTATAGGTGAATGCTCCTTTTTGATCAAAGGATGGTAATGGGATGGCATGGCCTTTAAATATAATCTCTTATGAGATGGGTTTGTGGTGTGTATCAATCGGGATAGAGCTCGAATAGGGTTCAAGAAATACCGAAATACCCAATTAGTAAAGAAGGCGAGGATGGGCTTTGTTTAAAATCACGTACATGCCTCATTTATGCTCAAATAACCTATAATTTTAAGTACACACAAATATAATGATCATGCAAGCATGTATATTGGTTAGTATGTTTTGTAAGGATAACACTAAGAAAGTGGAATTTGGTTTTTAAATGGGATAAAGCTATGTATTTATATGTTTTACCAATCTTAGGGTGTAGGTGAGTTTGGCCAATTTGTTAAAATGATGAACAATATATTCCATGCACTAATAAATCATGAATAATCTACTAGCATGTGATAGATGGTAGATAGATTACGGTTATCTATTATGAACTAGAAGGTTTAAATGTATAGCTTTTGTAACTGGTTTAAGAGGAACTTTTAAGAACTATTGTTTCAATAAGTATAATCTTCATAGAAGATTTAATAGACGGTCAAATATCTTAAGTTATTTGGAAGAATCAGATTTTTGCTGAGCCATAATCAAAGTATCTATGCTTTGCCCAAAGGCATAAAATGGTTAATTGGGGACCATCTCAAGGACATCCCTCTATTCCCTTTTTTTTGGATAGAATTGGAATTTTTTTCCTATATCCGGCTAATGGAAATTTATTTATTTATCATCATTTTGTCAAGTCATCGAGCAATATGGATATCTTGAAACAACACATAAAATGAATCTTCTTTTTCTACCAAATGCTTTAATCTTGTTTCTCAACTTGAATGATTAGACACAACATAGAATATGAACCCCTAAATGAATTTGATGCCGAATTCCTTACATCCATGGAAATCATGTGTTTCTTATCATGTTAATAATCAGGAAAATTCTACCTATAGGGATATAGGAAAGGGAAGAAATCATATATGTCTAAAGATTAAATCTATCAAGGTTATCCTGTGGGATGTCAAATACCAATAGGTAAAGTATAAGCTTAGTCTTGGCTCTGCTCATATAGGCATAGCTTTTATAGGCTTGTATGAGTTGAACCTTGGTTCGTTTGGGTTAGCATAAAGTCAAAATTAAACCTTTAAAAGAGAATCACCGATAAATCATACCCACAAAATTTACAACTCTTGAAGAGGCTATGCGTAGTGGATTGAATCAATATAAATTACTCTGTGGCTTGCACGAGCTAAGCTTAGGGTTGCCAAGCTACCTCGAGCTTTACTAGGCTTGAGCTTGGTTGAGATTGGCTTGGGCTTTGACTTTCCTTGGATTTTTGAGAAAGCTCATGAACTGACTTGTATGGTGTACACTCACCTCTATGGCTCTTATTCATATCAATTAATAGTTTCTTTTTCATGTTGAGAAGTAAATACCGTTATTAATGATGGGCATGCCTCTTTATTTAAAAATTGATATAAGGCCTTGCACAATTTTATAGTATGCTATTATTGTGTCATCTATAATATATAGATTTTTCTCTTCACCTTTCATTTGTTCCATGAAGAAAATGGCTTTCCATATTTTATTTATGCTTTGTTTTATCTTTTATCTTATGTTCACCGTGTCATTTGCGTGTTAGCATACACTTATATGTTACTATGCTACATGCCTCCTTGTTTTTTGCTTTCGTTTTGCAAGCCAATGGTTTTTATGGAAATAACCTTTCTACCATCATTGTAAGATCCCACATCGGTTGGGAGGGGAACTAAGGTTGCCTTATAAGGGATTGGATGCCTCCTCTATCAAACACGTTTTAAAACCGTGAGTCCAGTTGTGGACAAAACGGTCAATATCTGGCATGGTTGGTCTGGGATGTACAAATGGTATCAGAGCCGGGCACCGAACTGGTGTGCTAGCGAGGACGCTGGGCTCCCAAGGGGGGTGGATTGTAAGATCCCACATAGGTTGGGGAGGGGAACAAAGGTTGCTTTATAAGGGACTGGATACCTCCTCTATTGGACGTGTTTTAGAACCGTGAATCCAGGTGTGTACAAAGCGGACAATATCTGGTACGGTTGGCGTTGGATGTTACAATTTGGGGTAGAGGCAAGGTCTGCGTACATCCTACCGCCAGACCCCCTTCAGCGTGGGTTATACCGGGTTGGTTTGGTTTTATTTTTTGCTTTTCTACTATATACGGAACTATGGTCTTATAGTAAGAGAAGCAACAACGTCAACAACAAGCTTTTATCCCAAATTAGCAAGAGAAATGCAAAAAAGTGATGAACTGAAAAACCACACATTTCTAGCTTTACTTTTAGTCGGTGATGATTTCTTTGAGTTGATAAAGTGGTTTGAATTATGAATTGTATCTCTATGTGTAATTGATGGTCATCTTCTTGAATTTAATATATGGTTCTTAAATGCAGTTTACGGTGCAACGGTCATTTGATTTATTGCTATTTATTTCATGATTACGAAAGCAGCGGCAGAAGTTTACCTATTTAGCCATGTTGATGTTTGGCGATATTTTCAAAGGGAATTATTACCAATTCTCATTTGTGACCTAGAATTTGCGGAACCAAATCTGCTTTCAATTGAAATGTGATATTCAACCCAAGCACAATTTATACAGTTTCAGGAAGCGATTTGTAGTCTCTACTAATCAATTCCACAAAATCATGTCTCCGTGGTGGAGTAAATCTTCATCTAAAGAAGTAAAGAAGAAACCAAATAGGGGAAGTATCTTTGGGTCGATTCAAAGGAAGCTGAAGAGCCCATCGGAAGGGAAACAAAACTCATCTCGAAGGCGTAGTGAAATCGCTTCTGAAAAGGGATCTCATTCTCGTGCTGGTTCTCGATCCCCTTCTCCATCCACGCCAGTTGCTAGATCCCACAGTTTTGCTGAAAGACCTCATGCCCATCCGCTCCCACTTCCTGGAAACTTTTCCGGTATTCGGTCTGCCGATTCAGGAAAAAGGACATCAAGAAAGCCTGGAATTGCCAAAGGATCCTCGCCCTTATTGCTTTTGCCGCTTCCTAAACCTAGACATCCCCAAAATGCACAAGGTCATGCGGATGCAGAAGGCGATTTGGCAACTGATTCTGCTTTTACAGATAGTTCAAGTGATAGCGATGATCCCTCAGATTCACGGCTTCTAAGCCCTCAGGCATCCGACTATGAAAACGGGAACAAAACTTCTACAAATAGTCCTTCCAGGTGAGTTTTAGATTTATGTTAGATTTTCGCCCAAATTTGTACTGATTTTGCTAATTGTAGATTGAAGATGATATATAGGGGTCAGGTTAGGGGAAAACCGCAAAAAAATGGAAAACTGAACAACACCCTAGTAACCATTCATTTGGAAGGTATGCACATGTGCATACAAGTAATTTGTAAGCAATTTGTCCGGTATGCACATGTGCATTACATGCATAAAAACCAAAAACCAACTTCAATTACTTGTATGTACATGTGCATACCGTCCAGAATCCAGATGAATGGTTACCAGAGTGTTCCTCAGTTTTTCATTTTTGGGGGTTTTCCTCTGAACCTTCCTCTATTTGTCATATTGGCTAAAGTTAGAGCAAGATTTTGCATCAGTGTAGCCTATCTTTCATTTGTCTAACGATCGTACATTTACCCTCTTTGAAGTGCAAATTACAAGATCCAAAATCATATTATAACCCAAAAGAAAAGGGAGAAATTGAAGCCAGCAAACACGTTCTTGAACAACCAGACGGTTCCAGTGTCACCAAAGCGAAGACCTTTAAGTCGTCATATGGCAAAACTACAGATTCCTCAATCGGGTGCTTTTTTTAGTGCTCCAGACAGCTCCATGTCCAGTCCCTCTAGAAGTCCAATGAGGGTATTTGGCCCTGAACCGACTCTGACCTCTGGTTTCTGGGCTGGAAGGCCTTGTGCTTATGCTGACGCTGGTTTTCTTGGGTCTGGTCACTGCTCTAGTCCAGGGTCAGGTCACAACTCGAGCCATAATTCAGTTGGAGGAGACATGTCGGCTCAATTGTTCTGGCAGCCTAGCAGATGTAGCCCTGAATGCTCACCCATACCTAGTCCAAGGATGACTAGCCCTGGTCCTAGCTCGAGAATACAAAGTGGGTCTGTCACCCCGTCACATCCAAGATTTGGCGGGTCAAACACGGACTTATCTGCAAACTGGCCAGATGATGCAGTTAACGGGAAACAACAAAGCCACCGACTACCCCTTCCTCCACTAACCATCTCAAATGTTGGTCCTTATTCACCCTCGTATTCAACGGGCACTACTCCAACGGTTCCAAGAAGCCCAGGCAGAGCAGATTTTTTGGTAAACCATGGTTCACGCTGGAAGAAGGGACGGTTGCTTGGTAGGGGCACATTTGGACATGTTTATCTTGGTTTCAACAGGTTGGCAAATTTCTGCTGCTTTCCGTTATTTGGCATATATAATAATTACTTTTTCAATGATAAATAAGTCTTTAGGGTCATGTTCAGGGGAAAACCATAAAAAAAATGAAAAACTGAGGAACACGGACACCATGGTAGCCGTTCATCTGGACAATATGCAGATGTGCATACAAGTAATATATAAGCAATTTGTCTGGTATGCACATATGCATAACATGTAGACGTGCATAAAAACCAAGAAACAATAACAATTACTTGTATGCACATGCGCATACCTTCCAGATGAATGGTTACCAGAGTGTTCCTCAATTTATCATTTTTTAGGGGTTTTCCCCTGAACCTCTGTCTAAGTTTTTAAGACATCCATTTCTCATAATCTGACTCGCTGTATTGCAGTGAGAGTGGGGAAATGTGTGCAATGAAGGAGGTGACACTATTCATGGATGATGCAAAGTCGAAGGAAAGTGCCCAACAGCTGGGGCAAGTAAGTCTTTTCACCAACCTTTTAATTATTTGCCGTACCTCTTTGTGAAAAAACAATCTTTATCTCGTAGAAACTCATACGGGTCCTTGATATTTGGCAGGAAGTTGCACTATTAAGTCGTTTGCGACATCCAAACATTGTGCAATATTATGGATCTGAGACAGTAAGAAAATCATTTAGAGCTATTCTTTCCTATAATAGATGCACCCTGATCTTCTTCTTTGTTTATATTTTTTCAATTATCATTGATAATAATTTAAAGATTTGTCTTTACTTGATGTTAAGATCCCTCTTTGGTGTAAGGGCATTTGTGGGTTGTAAACATTCTCTCTCTCTCTTTGTACAAACTTACCAGGTGGAGGACAAACTCTATATTTACTTGGAGTATGTTTCGGGTGGTTCCATTCATAAGCTTCTTCAGGAGTATGGCCAGTTGGGTGAAATCGCAATCCGAAGTTACACTCATCAAATTTTGTCAGGACTTGCGTATTTGCATGCCAAAAATACAGTCCATAGGTGAGTTTAATTTGGTCACTGTTTGCTCATTATTATTCCACTGCTAGCAATATCACTGATTGTTTATTATGTTTTCTTAGGGACATTAAAGGAGCAAATATACTGGTTGACCCTAATGGACGTGTAAAATTGGCCGATTTTGGGATGGCAAAACATGTAAGACACACACACACACATATATATATAGAGAGGGAGTTTCAGGGGAAAACCCTCGAAGAAAATGAAAAACTGAGGAACACCCCTGATAACCGTTCATCTGTACGGTATATCCACATGTGGATATAAGTAATTGAAAATGTTTCCTGGTTTCTATGTACGTATGCATGTTATGTGCATGTGCATACTGGAAAAATTACTTCTATGCACATGTGCATACCATACAGATGAACAGTTACTAGAGTGTTTCTCAGTTTTTCAATTTTTTGCGGTTTTCCTCTGAACATGACCCTATATATAGAGGCCACTTCAAATACCAACCGCCTAAATCTTACAAACTGTAGAAACCAATCTCAACAGTCCGTGCAAATTATCAAATCAACAGCAACGATGTGGATTAAATCGATTCCGAAATTTACTTTTAACCTTATCTGCGACTGCAACTGATTTGGTAACTGTCTAAAAATTTCAAAATACACAAAATCAAGAGCCGAGATTGGTTTGTACGGTGTGTAACATTCTTATAGTTTGTATTTAATTTGTCCTCTCTCTCTGTATATATAATGTGGTCAATAGCATCTTAGAGTAGCCATCTATCTTTTCATCGTTTGATGTGATTGCCTTTCACAGATTTCAGGCCCGTCATGCCCGCTATCCTTCAAGGGAAGTCCATACTGGATGGCACCCGAGGTCAGCATACCTGCCAAACTCGTTTTTCTTGCTCTTTTCATTCATCAAAATATTCCACAACTAGCAACCTTTGATTAAATTCTTTCAGGTTATCAACAACAATTCAAATGGTTGCAATCTTGCTGTGGATATATGGAGTCTTGGATGCACCGTACTAGAAATGGCTACAACTAAACCGCCATGGAGTCAGTACGAAGGGGTTAGTAGTTTTACAATAGCTTAAATTTAAAAACATTTCGGTTTTTTCTTTTCACCAAACAAATTATTAGAAAATATTATAAAACCACACCAGACCTTACTATTTCTTTTCTTGTTTTATGTGTCCATCAAAGGTTGCTGCTTTATTTAAGGTTGGAAACAGCAAAGAACTTCCGGCAATCCCTGACCATCTTTCAGATGATGGCAAAGATTTTATCTTGCAATGCTTGCAGAGAACCCCATCACGCCGCCCTAGTGCCGCCCAGCTTCTTGACCACCCTTTTGTTAAAAATATAGTTTCATCTGAAAGATTGATACCAAACCCTGTCCCCATTACAAATATGGTGAGATCTCTGGTACGTTCTTCGCCTTACTTTTTGGGAAAAATCTTTTCTTTGGAGATCTTGTGGAACGATGTTATACCTTTTTGGATCGATTATCTGTTATAGGGTATTGGGCATACTTCTGAAGGAGTTTCTGTTCTTCCCTCTAGAAGTCCAAAATCTAGTTCCGGATTCAGGTCCGTCTTTCTGTCCAAAATCTTGTTTTTCGTTGATACATATGCTAGAGTAAATTTATGATTTTTCTAAGATTAATCCCGGCAAATTGTGACTGCAAGGAATAAGCCCTGATAAACTCAGTGGCCACAATTGTTGTGTACACCTGGAATATAACCCTGGGGTTATGGGATTTAATTTTTAAAATTTCTTGTGATCTGCAGCGATGGTAATATGCCTCGGAATATATCATGCCCAGCTTCCCACATGGGTAGCCCTCTTTTGCATCCAAGATGTGGTCAAACCATGAATGGAAAACTATCCCCATCTCCTATATCGAGCCCACGAACCATCTCTGGTTCATCCACACCTCTAACCGGACCCGTTGGAACCGTTCCCTTTTATCACCACCAAGTTCAGGTTCAGGTCCAGAAACAGCCAGGTCCATACAGCCATGAATTGACTTCAAGATCTCCCAATAGATCTTTCGGTAACATCCAAGAACCAAAAGCTGATATGTTTCGAGCAATGCCTCAAGGGTCTCCCTTCTTTCAAGAAATAGTTCCTCAATCAGACAATGATTTTCTAGGGAACCAAAAAGAAACATATGGCGGGGGAAAGTCTGTGTTAGCTGATCGAGTTTTCCAACAGCTTCTGAGAGATCATCATCATGTGAAGCAAAATCCAGCCATTGATCTCAAGCCCGCTTCTCCAGTTGTGAATCGAAGAGAATGGAGTTGATCTGATCTGACTAAAAGAACATATTATGAATAATATCTATATACTTATATATATATATATATAAAAGATCTCTTTTGGAAGCTGAAATGGAAGGAGGGATGCTATTAACTATAGGTACAGAGTAATTTTCGCATTAAAAGTTAAAGAAAGTTATCAAGATTTAGAATCTGATAGACGGCGGTTTGCTTGCAGTTATGCAGATGGATAGCTTCTAAACCTCCAGCATTTAACAGGCGGGATGGATGTTCGCGTACAGGAAGAAGGTTAGAGATAATTTTGTTGAAAAGCAGGTTGTGTAGATGGTTTAAAAACTAAAGTAGAGTAGAGTAGTAAGGAATGAAATACTAGTTATCAACCATCTTTTCTTTTGTGCACAACAAGCTTAATCAATCAGCTTCAGTTCTTTTTGGTCATGTTATTGTTACTCTTACTTTCTCTCCATCTCTTTACCATGTTTGGGCTGAACCAGGGCTCGGCGTTGGCCCGATATTGGTCTCTTTGTAAAAGCCCGGTGCTGATCTTTGAAACCAGGCCCAGAACCTGGCCTTTGAAATCTAGGACCTGGGCTTGGTGGTTCCAACTAGAGATGCACGAAAAAACCATGCCCAAAAGCCTTGGCATAATAAGAGGTTGTTTGGTTGTTTTTTCATCGATTCTTGTATGGATAAAGCTGTCTGTGTGGATTAACGTGTCTATATGGTTTTGGAAAGTTTTTATTTGGAAGAGTTTTTTCATAGATGGAAGGTGTTTTTAATTGGGATGGATAGGTTTGGAAAAAGCTTGCTTTCTGCATAAAGCTCCTCTAAAAGCTTACTGAATAAGCTACATTTTGTATCATTAAGTCATCAAACAATATTGTGTAGTTGACCAAATAAACTGTGAGTCTATCATGCTCATTAAGCTGCTAACCAATAGGCCGTAAGCCTGATCATGCAAAGTATTTTTTTTTCCAAAACCTGGCCTTTAATAGCCCAACCGGTCCCATTTTTACATCCAAAGCTTGGATCTTTTTCTTACTAAAAACGGGTTCGAAGGTTTGGACTCAAACGCAAAAAAGTCTGGACCTTGTGCATTTCTACTTCTCCAGTTCCTGCTCGAAAAAAACTCGGGTCTTCTTCAGGCCCAACCAAGGTTTGGGTGTGAAATATAGGCCTGATCGTGTTTTTTAGACCATACTTTTGAGGTTTGGGCTTGCTAAACTCGGGGTTTTTGTTTAGTAGGGTTTGGGTTAGAGCTTTTTTATGCATCTTTAATCCCAATAATGCCGATATAATGTTTATAAATTTTATTCAAAGTGAACATATACAAATATCGTAAATATTACACGAAAAAATAAATGAAAAAAATGCAACCAACACGAAGCTTTTGTAATACCAGTTCCGGAAATAGGATTAGGTATAAACCCTGAACCTGAAAACGATTGTGCTTGGGGCTATTTGTTTGGTTTTCCATTAAATATTATATGTATAAAGATGTTCATGGATGGAAGTAACAAGTTTTTAATTTAGGAGGGACAAATTTGGAAAAAACTTGGCTTTTTGCATAAAGCTCCCTTCCAAAAAGCTTACTGAATAAGTCACTCTCTGCATCATTAAGTCACTACCAAACAGTCATGTGTTAGCTGACGAAATAAGTTGTAATTGTTATTAAACTCATTAAGCTACTACCAACAAAACAGACCCTAAACTACAATTTTGTTCGGTTATGGCTTAATCGAACAACCATGAGCTTATTCAAACAACCAAGGGTAGGGTTTATGGCTTAATAAAAAATAGTTGGTTCAGAGCAATGTTCTAAAAAAGCGCCATGGCGCGTTATAGCACCGAGGCGCGACCTTACCGCCACGTTAACCCCCCTGGCGTGAATATAAGGCATGAAGCTTGTTATGGCGCGTTTATGGATTTGCCGCTTTAAGGTACCCCATATATATATATATATACATATATATATATATATATATATATATATTGTATATACATTTGCCGTCTTAAGCCACGCCACGGTCTCGCTGTAACTCGTAAGTTTTAAAGTTTTACCTCGCCCCCACACCTCATGTCATTTAGAACCTTGGTTCAAAGTTATTTCATCTGTATACCAACAATAAATACATCTGATTCAATCTTTTCATAACAAATACACATAAAATAACAACAATTATATGAAGATATGCCAATCTGATCATGGAGCCACCATGCCCAGGCTAAAATCCCGCAGTTTCTTCCCCAATTCCGAATCTTTAGAAACAGAACTCGGTCTGCCTATGTTACTATCTACGAAATACTCCCCGCTAACCCCTTTCACTTGTGGGTGCAACGCCACATAGCACGTAGTTGCCGCCCCCTGAACAAAATCATTAAGCTCTTCGGTTCAGAAAAAAAAAAAAACTGAGTAATTGTATCGGAGAATTATCGAAAACTCACAACTGTTCCAACTCCTAACCTGTGGAATAGTTTTCAAGAAGTATTTGCCCACCCAATCAACCACCCCTGGTTCAATTACATCAAAAACCCATTATAGAATGGACATTCGTTTGACAGTAGAGATCGAAAAGTTCTGATTTTTACCTTCGAGAATGCTGTGGTGACGTAAAAGATTGGTTGCAATTGCACCAGGATGCAGCGAGTTTGCTGTTAACTCCACCTTTTCTTCCTGGGTTTTCAAAGGTTACGTAAATATCATAAGAACTGAACTTAAACTCTTCCTAAAGTTCAACATTTTGATGAATATTATAGATTTTATACATTAATACCTTAAAACGCCTCGTTAGCTCATTAGCATGCAGTACGTTGGCCAGCTTCGACTGTCCATACGCGTATATGGAGCTATAACTGAATCATAGAACGATATAGACAAGTTCATATATATAGATATATATTTATATATATTCACTTGGGATCATGTGAGACCGATATGTTTTCATGAGAAACACAACACCTTTACAGAAAAGCACGGTAAAGGTAGACCTTCACAACGTTTTTGATATGAATGCTAGATGTTTTTTATACCTTCAGAGTCTTTTACTGTGAAAATTCAGTGTAATTTTTGTGGTCTCACGAAAAACCGACCCGTCTTACGAGAATCCAACCCATATAGATATAGAGAGAAACCCCCAAAAAATGAAAAATGAGGAATACCCTGGTAACCATTCATCTGCACGATATGCACATGTGCATACAAATATTTGAAGTTGTTGCTTGGTTTCCATACAAGTGTGTAGTATACCGGACAAATTACTCGTATTCACCTGTGCATACTGTATAGATGAATGGTTACCACGATGCTCCTCAGTTTTTCTTTTTGGTTTTTTCCTGAACCTAACCCTATATATGTAAACAGATATAGATGTACACTGAATGATGTGTACACAATGAACTTGCCTACCTTGATTCATCATTTATTTTGTCAAAGTTAATTCCTCCTTTATATGTAATTCGATGACCCTCAGATGATACGATAACTATTCTTCCTTCTTTTTTGCTTTCCCGCGATGTATTCTTCATGGTGTCGAGTAAAAGATTCGTCAAAAGAAAATGACCTGATAAAAAACCACACATTTGACGTTTCAATCATCATATGTGTATCTTAAAGCGACAGGCTGACCCAATAACCTCCAAATCAACTTAAAACCAAGGTGAAAGTTATTGATAGCCTACAACTTTGAGCTTATAAGGAGCTCATAAATCAAATAATAATCCATGTGGAATGGGTTATTACAGTATGTTTTCATATGTTATAGTCGTCATATACCTAAATGATTCGTTGCAAACTGTAGTTCAATCTTGTCTTTTGAAAGCGTGAACGGAGGAGCCATCACCCCTGCATTGTTACTTTTGACAACACAAACCAACAATCTTACTTGTAGTTTTCAACACATATATACATATAGAGGGTCACAAAAAAATGAAAAACTGATGAACACCCTAGTTTCTTGAATACAAGTAATTGAAGTTGTTTCTTGGTTTCTATGCACGTGGTCATGTTATGCACATGTGAATACCAGAAAAATTCCTTACAAATTACTTGTATGCACATGTGCATACAATCCGGAGGAATGGTTATCAAGGTGTTCTTCAGTTTTTTATTTTTTTGTGGTCTCCCCTAAACCTGACCCTATATATATAGAGAGATTTACATGAGAATGTTTAAAGGAAGGCCGGAGGAACGATACTCTGCAGCAAATTTCCTTACAGATGCCAGCGAGTTGAGATCTAACTCCATCACATCGACTTTAGCATCGGGTGTTTCTGTAAGTATAGTTTCTTTAACTTTTCCACCGGTTTCTATATTTCTTACGGCCATAACCACATGTACACCATGCAACGCAAGGACCCGTGCTGTCTCTGACCCGATACCGCTTGAAGCTCCTAAATGCATACACAAGTTTCATGTTAGAGACCAAAAGGTCTTTGGGCTAGGGGTATGTGAGTCCTTAGCCTCCTAGGAGGTCAAGGGTTCAAACCTCACCAAAGGTGAGGGTGTGTGAGTTTATTTGTTCTATTTGCCATATATAAATATTATATACTTCCAAAAAAAAGTTTCATGTCAGAGTTCTACATCAACAAGACTCCACAAATTTCTCATTAGTAGTATCTTGAAACTTCCATTTTCTACTATGGACTCTTTTGGAGAATAATCTTAACGGTGTTCCATAACTCTCACATGGTATCATAGCAAATCAGGTTCGACTCCAACAACCATGCTAAGGGATTGTTTGTTAACATCTTAATGAGCTTAATGGAACTCACAACTTATTCGGTTAGATATGTATGACTGTTCGGTAGAGGCTTAATGACATAGAAAGTGGCTTATTCCTGTAAGTTCCTAGGGGAGCTTTATGCAGTTAGTCAAGTTTTTTCCAAATCTGCCTTTCCCAATTAAGAACACGCTCATTCCATCTATAAAAAAACCTCAAAAGTAAAAACCTTCTTAATCTACATAGACAAATTAATCTACACAATCAACTTTATCCATACAAGACTTAATGAAAAATCAACCAAACAACCCCTATAGGCCTTTTTGTTAGCAGCTTAAAGAGCTTAATCGGACTCACTGCTATACACGACTGTTTGGTAGTGACTTAGGGACCATTTACCGAACGCTTATCCAGGTAAATGCATATCAAGTCATATTACCGTACCGAATCAATACGGCAAGGATCAAAAATCTTACCCGGTAAGAGCGAAGGCAAGGACCGAGAGTCTTACTTGTTAAGTGACGGCGATGACTCTTATCACAGTCAGCACTTACGGGATTAATTGTTGCATACGATTACTATTTTGATGGAATAAAAAGTAAGTAGTTGATAGTATTAAATTTTGCCAGTAAGCACTTACCTGGATAAGCATTTGTAAACGAAAGTGACTTATTCAGTAAGTTTACATTGGGGAGTTTTACGTAAAAAACCAAGTTTTTTCCAAACCTGCCCTCCAAATAAAAAAAAGTGATCTTCAGTCTATGAAAAAACTCACCCAAATAAAAACCTTTTTGATCTATACAACATATTAATCCAACCAAACAAAGAGCTTTAAGACTTGATGGAAAACCATCCCTTCAGCCCCTACTAGAATTAGCAAATCCCAGATGCATATTGGTAAAATAACATCAAGAATCCAAGATCATCAAGTATTTGCGATCAAAGATCAAGAAATCAACCCCAGTCTTTCACTACCCACATGCCACACATTATTCTAGTGAAAATTTCTAGAACTTTCGTGGTTCTTACTCAAATATGTGCGATGAACCATACCCTTAAAAGTCCAGAACAGATGTCAAAGATCAAACGGTTGAAGACAGAAAGTGAAAAGAATCAAGAACCCTAATGAGCAAACAGAGTTGAAGATGAAAGATTTCACCTGTAACAAGGGCGGTGAGACCAGTACCATCGATTCCTTTAGTAACATCTTCTGCTGTTGAAGAAGCTCCAAACCCAGATTCCCCCTTCCTTCCAAATATCCACATTTTTTGGGGTTAAGAAAACTAGGTAGATTATGCAGGATCTTGATTGGTATTATCATCAACTTCATTGTGCAATAACTCAAATATTGGAATCCATCGTCATCAGAGCATCTACAAAGATTCTAGAAAGTGATTTTTGAGCATTTCACAGTTTCTTCAAAAAAAAAAAAATTAAAGAAATTTTAGTTTACCTAGTTTGTTAAAAATTGTAGTTTTAATCTGTAATTTATTATTATTTTTGTTCTTAAAAATTATAAACTAATGTCATTTTAATGTATGGTTTATAATTGTAGTTTTAAAACTATGAACAAAAATATCAATAAACAACGAATAATAAGAATAAAAAAGTGGTAATTTCTAAACCGTCGTTCCGAATTATTAACAAACCACAGGATGTCGTAATTTACTCAAAAATTTATGTGGGTTTATAAACAAACGTGGCTATTAGATCAATCATTGCAAGTTTAAGGATGAAGTTTTCCATATTGAAAAGTTGGGGATTAAAATTGACAAGAAGAGCATACTCTAGGGACCAAAGTTAACTATTCACATTTCACAAATATCCTGTCAATGCGACGATGGCGGCTTTTGGTAAATGGAGTGTAACGAATCAAGTTCGAATGTAAACACTAATGCACTTAGGCACGGCCATACATAACATAGAAATCACACTTGAGGATCAACCGGTAGTGGGCGAGGGGATTGMTTTTTCCTTGAACAGTTCTTTCAAAAAACGAATCGATCTGATTGATGAGTCATAAGAAGACAATTCATGATTCAGATGCTTAATAATAAGAAGGAATAATCAAATTGAATTTAGCGATTTACCTGGGTGGTCAATTTATGGGCCAATAAAGAAAGAAGTTTATCTTCGAAACCCATTGGAAGGGGTAGTGCACGAGAAAAAAAATCATGCAGAAATGATCGACTCTTTGGACGCCCCGAAATACTAGGGGTGAGCATAGGCGGGTATCCGCTCTTTTTGATAGGAACCGGAACCGGAACCGGCGGTTCTTGAGATATTGAAACCGGAACCGGTTAGAGCGGTTCTTGAATTTTTGAAACCGGGAACCGGTTCCGGTTCCGGGTACCCGCTTCCTAAAATATTAAAATTTTGTTATTTAGAAATAAAAAATAAAACATTGTCAAAACACTAAATTAAATAAACAAGAATACAAATTATACGGAATAATGGTTACAAATATTGTTTAACGATTATAAACCATAATAGACTAATAGAAAATGTTCAAAGTTTAACGATTACATACTATAATTGTAAATGTTCAAAACTTAACGATTACATACTATGAAGTGTAATTTAGTAGAACTAGAAAGTTGATGAAGAATGAAGATGACCACGTCCTTTGAAGATATAACATAATATACATTTGGTATTAAAAAAAATTAATTATTTTTTTATTGAAAAACACTGGGTACCCGCCGGTTCCGGGTACCCGGTCCCGGAACCGGTCCTGGCAGGTACCCGGCGGGTAACGGTTCCGAAAAATTGAGAACCAGAACCGGAACCGTTCTCAATCGGTTCCGTATTTTAGGAACCGGAACCACTCATATCGGTTCAGGTTCCGGAACCGGCGGTTCCAAGGCGGTTCCGGTTCTGCAAACGGGTACCTGGTTCCGCTGCTCACCCCTGGTTCCATACATGAAGGGTATGTTCGATTAGAAAAAAATTGTACTATATTTAACAGATTCTTTAAAATAAAAAAATTAAAAGTCATGTCATTTATATTGTTTCAACAGATTATCTATAATGTTTTCTAAAGTAAGGAAGACATGAAAAAAAATTCTAAGTTTAGAAAATTCTCTAAAACTTGATGTAAGAGAGAGAAATGATTATTTTATTCAATTTCACCAATCAAATTGAATTATTATTATTTTATATGAAGTTTTTTAAAATATATTGAGATAATAAAGTTAGAGGATATTATAATATAATAATTTATGTTGGAATCTTTAAAATAGAGATTATGCTAAAATTGAATGTAATTATTTAAAAAAAAAATTAGTTTTGTTTCTATAGTTTAGAAAGAAAAAAAATCATAAAAAGCTTGTTGGAAATGCTAAACCTCCAATGGCATGATCATGTCTTAATTGGTCTTAAGCCAATCTTGACTGGTATCAGTGTAATTTAAAGGTTGTTCGATTGTGGCTTAATGAGTTGTATAACACATATAGCTTATTCGGCTAGCCATAAATATGTGTTTGGTTGTCGCTTAATCTAGAAATAGCTTATTCGGTCAGCTTAAGGAATACTCCTATTTACATTCAACCTTTTTTACCTATATACCCTTCTTTTAAAACACGCTACCATCTTCAACAATGAAAATAAAACCTTAAGGCTCTCATCGCCTCCATCCCTTTAAGCTTTGCAGCACCTCCATCGAAGCTCTCATTTGCCATCGTCGGTCTTTCATCGTCGTTCTACCCCTCATCTTCATTCTCTCTTCCTCCCTCTCTTTCTCACAAGATCCACCGTTCCTGTCGTTGTCGATCTGTTCTATACCAACACATGTTTGTTCCACTTGCATATATGTTTTGTTTTATTTTTGTTCCATGAAGAAACACACCTGTTCCATGGCGGTTTTGCTTATTTTTACTCCAACAAATATGTAATTCTGTTCCATGGTGGTCTGCTTATTTTTGTTCCAAAAAGATATGTTCGTTGCAGATTTGTTGTATTTATTATCATACAGACAACTTTAATAAATAAATAAAATCCGAACAACCCTTTAAACAATTCAAAATGAGTTGTTATAATCAATAATAAGTAGAGTTCTTTCCAAACAAAAATAGAGTTATCGAAAACTCAAATAAAAATAAAAGAAATCTTTTTTTTTATTATCGAAAAATAAAACGAGCTATTAAACAATTATTTTTGCTTTTAATCATTTAAAAAACAGACATGTCTTCATTAAGGGACCGTTTACCAAACGCTTATCTCGGTAAGTGCATACCAAATCATATTATCGTACCGAATCAATATGACAAATACCAAAAATCTTACCTGGTAAGAGCGAAACCGAGAGTCTTACCTGGTAAATGATGGCGATGACTCTTATCACGATTATCACTTACCGGATTAATTATTGCATACGATACCGTTTTGATGAAATAAAATATTACCCGGTAAGTAATGGATAGTATTGAATTTTCCGGTAAGCACTTACCCGGATAAACATTGGTGAACGACCACTAAGATTGATTCATAAGTTTATATAAATCTAACTACAAATACAGTTATGGCGTGAAGTATTTAGAATCCTATCTAAAAACTAGTATTTAATATCTTAAGAACTGTTTGTTTACCTTTTAATAGTTCCATTAAAAGACATCATATGAATCGGTAAGAAGTGAATATTGTTTGACAAAAAAAATGTATTTTAATGGTCGCAAAATCCTTTGAATGATTTTGTATCATAAATTTTCTTTAACCATTCAACACTCTGATTCTATTATAAATAATTACTGAATAATTATATTTTATTTTACATTATATTATAAAAATCTATTAATTATTCTAACCGCTTAATATTTTACATCAAATTATTTAACCACCCCCAAATAACATCTTAGAAAACGGTCACACATATAATATTTTCCACAATTGGTGACGTATGACAATTATTAAACCCATCGGATACGCACACAAATCTTGACCGGCATCCCATGCTTTTCACCGTTAGTTCATCCAAACAACAACACCATTTTCGTCGTTAATTGACGTTACCGGCACGCTTTTTGTCGTCACATAGCTATTAAAAAATAATTTATTTAATGTAAATATTATTTTATTCACGACAATTTTTTATATTTAAAAAATCATATTTTATTGTGTTAAAATTTAAATGAAGGTTATATTAACAAGCTATTCTTTAGTTGTTAACTTAAAAAAATTAATTGTTGGCTGATAAATAAATTATTAATTGAAAAACTAATTAATAAATTATTATTTGTTAAAAGTCTTTCTTTCAACTCAGTCCATCTTGATTTTTGAAATACTGTTTTTGCTTTGAACATTCTTACAAGTACCAACAGATCATGTCCTAAAAATTGATTGTTGATTTATGATTAGATAAAATAAATGATGGTAAATATTATTTTTGTCATTCACTTACTAATCATCATAATTAATAAAAACAAATACATAATAATTAAGATTTGAAATAATTATTTTTTAATTTTTATAATATATAAAAAAATCAAATAAAGATTGGTGTTAGTTTTTAAAGATCACCAATTTAAGAGTTAATTACCAAAATCATTCATGGTTTGATGGTTTGTTTCGAGTTTCGTCCCTTAACTTCATTTACTATGAATAACTCCCCCTCCTCACGTTTGCAATTTGGTTTGTTTTATGAACGGTTGTTGAATTTCGACCGTTTAGTTAGATTAAGGTATTTTGGTTAATATATCTTTAATGAAAGATACGACAATATTTAGTGACATGGATTATTATTATTTGCTTGGTTATTAATCCAACCACCACCGTCGTCATCGGCATCAACCACTATCACTGATCCAAACATAAACAACAATGTTGTACAGTCTCATTCAAGAAATTTGTAATACGAACCATAAAATCGAAACCCTGAAATTGTAAAACAAAAAACCTAAACCTAATTTGAAACCCTTTGAATTTCATCTTGCTATGTTGGGAGTAGAAGCACGCGGTCCTGGTGGTTTTCAAATGCAGATAAATGAACGTGAGTGAGAGTCATGGTTGAGATGCACGACGCGGGAATTGAACAATTTCGACAAGGGGATATCCATGAGTTAAGAGAGAGATAGAGGAAAGGAGAATAACGGGACAACCTATTCGTAATTCACGTATGAGTTGTGGCTTGCGAACAGGTAGCTCTATTGTTGTTCTTCGTCAACGTTGGAAGTCACAAAGGGATGAGAAGTGATGGCAGTGGAAGTGTAGTTTCACAGTCAAGGGCAATGCACGCGTGTATGTGTGTGTGTGTGTGAGAGAGAGAGAGAGAGAGTATGACAACTTTGCCTTCAAACATAACGAATTAGAATAGACGTTACACAGGGAAACGAAATACAAAACAAATTGCAAATGTCAGAAGGTTATTCATAACAAATGAAGTTAAAGGACGAAATAGTAAAAACACCAAAAATCAGGGACTATTTTTGTAATTAACTCTCAGTCTAAAGAGAAAATGCATTCCTTACGGTAGAATGTGCAATAGTTGACCAAAAGTCAACCTACCAGTCTCTACTGACTGCTGCTGGTGCCCTGCTTCATGTCTATATATCTCCCAACTTCACCATAATTTTGCATTACAGAATCCGATCATCATCGCTCTCGCAACCAAAATTTCTGTTATTAATCCTTGAAAAGATGTGGATTTTTTCATGGAAGGGACCAACTGGATTCTCAGCTTCTTCTACAGCTGAAGAAGTTACACGAGGAATCGAAGCTTATGGCCTTACCGCCATTATTACAGGTCTCAATCTCTATATTCAATCGTTTTTGCGATTATTTTTCACGATTAGGATTTAGGAAGTAGATCAACCGTCGTTTGTGGTTTTCATTTCAATCTATTTGAAGTTTTTAGAGTTAGGGTTGATGGTGATGTTAGTTGGATCCTCTGACCTCGAGATCTGTGCGATGAAATTTCAGGTCCAACAAGCGGTATCGGCCTCGAAACTGCACGGATCCTGGTCTTGCGCGGCGTACATGTGGTTATGGCGGTTAGAAACACCACCGCCGGTCAAAAAGTCAAACAAGAATTAATCAACGAAATTCCTAAAGCTAAAATCGATGTCATGGAGCTTGACGTTGCCTCACTGAAATCCGTAAATAAGTTTGTGGCGGCATACAAATCGACAGGTTTTCCGATCAACATCCTCATGTAAGCAACTAAACTTGTTTCCTCGTTTGATTCTAAACAAATCGGAAAAAAAACTAAAACAGACGGTGACTGAAATCACGACGGTGGTGGTTGTTTACAGTGCGAATGCAGGGGTTATGGCACCGCCGTTCACCCTGACGGAAGACAACATAGAGCTACAATTTGCGACGAACCACATCGGTCACTTCCATTTGACCAATGGTTTGTTGGACATCATGAAGAACACTGCAGAAAAGTCCGGCATCGAGGGAAGGATCGTGATTTTGTCGTCGGAGCTCCATAAAATGAGTTATAAAGAAGGAGTTCGATTTGATCAAATAAACGACGAAAAGAGGTATGTTCAAGTTCAACCTAACAAGATATGTTTTTTTTAATAATTACAAGGGTTGTTTGTTTATCTATTTCTAAAAGGTAAAACTTTAAATCATTAAAATATGAATGTTGTTTGATAAAAAAATGTATGAGTTTTAAATAATTTTAAAATTATTTGAATAATTTTATATTATGTGTCTCATTTAACTATTAAATATCTTAATTTTATTATAAATAATTATTAAATAATTATATTTTATTTTTATCATATCCTGAGAGCCAATTAATTATTCTGATCATTTAATTATTGTACCAAATCATTCGGTAACCGTTAAAAAATCTCCAAATATCTAATATATTTAATTATTAAAAAAATATTTTTTAGATAACATATTAGTTTTATTTATTATGTTTTAATAGAAAAGTTAATTTAATTATTTGAAAATATTAATTAATTAAAATATTTAAAATAGATCGATTTTTATTTATATTACATGTAATGATTACCTAGAGTAAATAACGTTTTTAGTACCTATGATTTATTGAAAATTCTATTTTCGTCCATGTGATTTTAAATTTATGATTTTCATCCACATAATTTATAATTTATTACCATTTTCGTAATCAAGATTTACGCTTTATTGTTCCTTAGTTTTGCAATTCATTTATATCTTAGTCTCTTGTATTTAAAAAAACATTTAGCCTCAAGGATGAAAATAGAAATAAATTACAAACCATAAGAACGGAAAACGCAATTTTAAAACCAAAGGGACAAAATCCGTAATTTTTAACAAACCACATGAACTAAAACATGATTTACTCTTTGTAATATTATACATGTAATAAATCAAATTGAAATTCTATTGACTAACATATACTGGTATTTAATTTTGGTATATCTTGTTTGTATTAGTTAACATATTATATCATTAGTGATTTATTTTAAATATATTATTATATGTTAATATGTACTAATTTTTGGAAATGTCTTTTTGCTCAATTTACATTATTCAATTAGTCTATCAGCTAATTTTTGACAAACATAAACCAACTTAGCTTATCAATTAACAATTAGCTTATCAGTCATTAGTTAGTTTGTCAAACGTAACCTAAATCCCATCCGGAGGTGGAATGTGCATTGTGTGTATACCTGATCACTGTCTTGAGTTTTCATAACAAAATGTCATTGCTAAATGTCCGAATTCACTAAATGTTGCAGTTATACCCCTTTACTCGCGTATGGCCAATCTAAGCTTGCTAACGCGTTGCATGCAAAGGAGCTCGCAAGGCGGCTCAAGGTGATTTTCCTCTTCAAATTTGCAAAACCTTTTAGATATTGTTAGAATATATGGAACCCTTTTGAATTATCTCTTCAAAAGAGAGAGACGGATGTATAGATACATGAGCTTGATCATTTGAGAACTTCAAAATTTGTGAGATCCGTAAGAACTTCTACCTTAAGGTTTTGTTTCACATGACATTTGTGATCCAAATATAGTACTTAATATATTGAATAACATATATTTCCTACACAATGTGTATTTTTTATATGTATGCGGTTCACAACGTGAAACCTTTTACGTGTATTCTTTGTTTCATAAACACGCCAAAAAGGACCACATTGTGAACCGAGTACATGTGAAACAAATATATGTTAATCACTATATTAAATTCTAACCATAGATAAGAAAATCATATGAAATAGCGCAACACTGGTTCTCAGAGATCTCACGATTTAGAGAGCTTTCAAAAGAAGGTCCCCTATATATATATCATGTCGTACGTGTTTGATGGTCAGTTTCTAAAATTGGTCTTATGGATCTACAGGAAGAAGGGGCAAATATAACAGTGAATTCGCTGCATCCAGGAGTTATCGCAACAAATCTTGCACGACACACGGCTTGGATGCGACGTATGTTCGAAACTTCATAATATCTTTAGAGCATTTCCGACAGATTTCATATTTTTTTATAAACAAAAGAAATAAGTTAAAATCTTAAAAAAAATCATTCTTCGATAGTTTCTTCGTTTCAGATATTTGAACATTAATTATATTATTAAAATATATAATAAATTTCAAATCTCAACAAATTTTTGAATAAATTTTATATGAAATAATAATACATTGAACTTTATTGATTGAAAAAATAAAAATACCATTTCTCTCTTTTCGATATTTAATTAAAATATCGGGATTTTTATCGTCTCTCCCACTTTCTGATTTTGGAGAAAATTTTGGTTGTGATGGAATTTCTTGTGTTGAAACAGTAATCTTTGGGTACATCGTTCGGCTCATGTTGAAGAACGTGGAACAGGGAGCCTCAACTACGTGCTATCTGGCATTGAACCCGGGGGCGAAGGGGATAAGTGGCGAGTATTGGGCCGATAACAACATCTCGAGTCCAAGCGGGTTTGTTAACGATCCTGAATTCGTGAAGAAATTCTGGGATTTCAGCGTTGATTTGATAGAGCGAACTCTGACCTCGTCGTCGTTATAAGTTATTCCGTTGAGTAAAATGTTTATGTATTTGTGATGGATGTTAAAAAGCTTTAAGATTGTCAAAATTATACGTCGTCTCTAATAAAGGCATTTTCGTCTCCTCTTCTGCGTGCATTATAAGGAGCATTTATTTTTACAAATTAAAAATGCCACGTGGTATGCTATGATTGGTCGATTGAGTGGTTTTGCCACAATTTAATAAATTATCAAAACATTGAGCTGAAACTAAAGCTAATAAGCAAAGGAAGCAATCCGGTCAGGTGGATGTCGTTTCTCGACGGGTCGGAGCCCATTTTCATGCCTACGGGTACTTCTTAAGGATTTAAAAATCTTATGTTTGAAGGATTTCAAATCCGAACAATCCAACAAACCAAACATGAGATTGCAATGGATTTGAAATACAAATCCTCCCAAATTCATTATTTATTTTGGTTGAAAAGTGTCGACCTCTTCAACCAAATTCACTTTTTAAACATTTTTATATCAAATTCTCATTTTAGGCAAAATTTATATATATGCCTTACACATTTACATAAAACGTATTTTCAGATTAAAAAAAAAATTATTTACACAAATGAGGAGGATCCTTACATAAATTATGTAAATTTGATTGAGAAAATTTACGTAAAACTTTATTTTCTTCTTTTTATCAGTTTATAGGCTTTAATTGAGAAAATGGAATAAAAACCTGCTTTGAGTCTATAAAACGTAGTAAGAGCATCCACTATGTTGAGGTTTTCACCAACTTTTTAACAGTTTTTTTTACACATTATCGTCACCTCAACAACTTAAAAACCTGTACATACTTTCATTATGTGAAAAACCTCACCCAAGTTTTTTCAAACTTTTCACGGTTCCACTATTTTAACTTTATATCATTTATATTTGTATTTATAAAAATAAATATATTTAAGTTTATACAAATAGACATTTATTTATATCGAGAACATATTATTAATTTAATTATGTATTTATTCCATACAATTTTTTTTAAATATTTTAATACAACATATATTAGATATAAATTTCTTATTATATAAGTAATCTGTAAGTATTAACGTAGATCGATTAGGTGGATCAAGACCAAATGACGTGTCAAGAGACCGGTCCAACTGGTTAGGGTCCTCTTGAAAATCGATTTGGATCAAGACCGGCCACAGAAAGACCAGAAGGGACCGTGGACGATAAGATTAGAACGGGTTAACCCAAACACCCATCTCATTTCATCCTAGACTCAATGGGTTGGTCGGATGGTCCAAGCCCTCCAACCAAAAAACACTAATCATTTTAGACCAACTATAAATGTTGAATAACATCTATGAGATAAAGATGAGGTGCATTTATCAATATAAAACTGATTACATAAAACATCCATTAGAACAACATGGTTACTACTACAAAAATGTATAATTATTATTTTGGTACATAAATTACAAAGAACACTTTCACCACCATATTAGTTTGACTTGGTCAACTTGGAACTAAAATCCCAAAGCTTCTTGGCCAGGTCTGCATCTAGAGCATACTTGCTTGCTTTATTCAAGTTGCTATCAGCAAAATACTGCCCACTTACCCCCTTCAATTGTGGGTGCAATGCTACATAGCATGTTGTTGCAGCTCCCTGCAAATTTCACAAAAACCATCATCATTACTTTACCTTCAATTATATATATATATATAGAGAGAGAGAGAGAGAGAGTGTGAGGTTTAGGGGAAAAACCCTAAAAGGATAAACACTAAGGACCATCCTAGTTACAATTCATCTGGATGTTATGCACATGTACATACAAGTAATTGAAGTTGTTTCTTGGTTTTTATGGACGTTTGCATATTATATACATGTGCATACCGGACAAACTACTTACGGATCACATGTATGTAGTATGCACATGTACATACAAGTAATTGAAGTTGTTTCTTGGTTTTTATGGACGTTTGCATATTATATACATGTGCATACCGGACAAACTACTTACGGATCACATGTATGTAGTATGCACATGTGCATACCTTCCAAATGAAAGGTGTAATTTATGATAACCGTGAGATCCAATGGGAACCACTCATTTGAGATAATTAATTAATTATAATATTTTTTAAATAAACTAAAAAGGGTAATTTAGTCATACAAATACCTTCTTTCAATTTTCTCATTTACATAATAATGAACCCCCTAAAAGTCCTCCTTTTATTTTCTCTCCATATTCTAGTGAGTGTGTTATCCCATATCTTGAAACTCATATGTCGATCACGTGGTTTTACGATGGTTTAAGGAGTTACAGTGATCAAAGTGTGTTATCCCATATCTTGAAACCCATATATTGATGTGGTGATCACAATGTGTTATCCCCACTTCACAAATTCATTGCGGTGATCACAGTGGATATATAGTGAAAATGACCGCAAATTCAAATTAATGGATCACGTGTATACGGTGGCTATCACAATAGAATGTTCACGCTGAAGGGGAGATGGAAGGGAAGAGGAGAGATAAGATTTCTAAAATATCTAAAATGCCCTTTAATAAAATTTTAAGTCAAAATTATCAAAATTATTAAGTTCCTAATTTATCCTTTGATTTGGGATTGGGATTGGATCTCATAGATGTCACAAAATACCAAGTTCTCCTTTGAATGGTCCCTATGTATATATACATATATATCTTCAATCACACAAGAAACCAAGAAATTGCAAACAAACCTGTGGGATGTTCTTCAAGAAACTGTTGGCCACATTTAGGAACACAGCTGTGTCAAGAAAGGTTTAAGATCAGCAATCAGCATATAAAAAACTAATTTCATGTTCAAAAACATAGTTTTCTGCATAGAATCTTGGATATATGAAAATGGATGTGAAAGGGTTGAGACATACAGAAAAAGCCACCGTTACGTGCAAGATTCGTGTTAATAACTCCAGGGTGCAGCGAATTGGCGGTTATATTCGCCCCCTCAGCCTGCAACCGCCTTGAGAGCTCGTTGGCGTGCAATGCATTAGCCAGCTTTGATTGCCCATAAGCGTAAAATGGGCTATAGCTGAAAACCATATCACAAATCATGGGAAACCATATTAGTTTAGATCATGTCTGTTAGCAGCTTAATAAACTTAATAGGACTCACAGATTATTTGGTGAGCTATACATGAATGTTTGGTAATGACTTAATGATATAAAAAATGGCTTATTCAGTAAGGTTCTAGGGGAAGCTTTGTGCAAAAAACCAAGTTTTTTTCCAAACAAGCCCCTCCCAATTAAAAAACACTCTCCTTCCATTTATGCAAAACCCTGCCCCAACAAAAACCTTGCCAATCTATGCAAACATATTAATCCATAGAGACAGTTTTTTCCATATAGGACTCAATGAAAACCAACCAAACAGCCCCTTAATCTTAAGTAGTACCATTTCCATAATTAAATATGATCTAATCTCCCATTTGTTAGGAACCAAGGATTACCTCTTCTCATCATTGATTTTGTCGAATCTAATGCCTTCTTTGTATGTCACTCTATGAACCTCTGAAGAAAGAATAACGATCCTTCCTTCTATCCCACTTTCTCTTGCGGTCTTTTTCATGGTATCCAACAATAAGTTTGTCAAAAGGAAATTACCTAACAAAAAAAACCAATCTTTATTTCATTAACATGTCTATTGAGTGTAAAACCAACATAACAACTTAAGAAAACATCACATACCGACATGGTTGGTTGCAAATTGCAATTCTATGTTGTCTTTGCTAAGAGAAAAGGGAGGAGTCATGATCCCTGCATTAAGACTTTAAACACCAAATATCAATAAACTAAACAACCAAATCCAAATGAATTTTAAACCATATATATGATCGAATGAATTTGACTTACATCAAGAGGTTCAATGGATGTCCCTTTGAACAGTATTGTGATGCAAAAGTTCGAACGGATTCCAGTGAGCTGATATCTAACTCCATCACCTCAAGTTTAGCATTAGGGATTTTCTGGGAGATGCTTTCTTTCACCTTTTGACCAGCTTCGACATTTCTTACTGGCATAATGACATGTACCCCACGTAAAGCAAGCACACGCGCGGTTTCTAAGCCAATACCACTTGTAGCTCCTGAAAGTCGCATAGAGAAACTATGAGCATTTAAAGAGCCTTCATGAAATACCCGCTTTACCCTTTGGGGTAGAGGTCAAGATTTTGTACGTTGTGTGAGATATATTGGGTTTGTTCGGTTTGGTTTGGTTTATATCCGGTCCATTCAGGGTTGCATATGGTCTATGTAAAACTGGGGCGTAAACAGATAAAATATGGATAGATCATATTCATTGGAAGTCATAGATTATTAGCATTTTTAACTCCAGAATCAATAAGAATCGTCCAATTATATGTATAAGGAACTGATATGCATCGATCCATATAAAAGTTGAATTCTGGAAAGTACAAATTCAAGATTTTAAGATAAACCATCCTTTGGTAAACCTAAGTACTAGAACTCCAAGGTGGATCAGCTAAAGATCACCCTATGAATTCATCCCAAATTAACAGACTTCTAAAAGGTGTTAAAGCAAATTTAGAGGTTAATTGATGATGGATTATTGATATAAATCAGAAAATAATCCATTAAAGCTTGACTTGTTTTCCAATTGACTAATTGAGACCTGTTCTTGAGCAATACACACACACACACACAGAGATTTGACTCAGACAACAGAGAAATATCATCAAACAGATAGAGCGCATTTAAAATTTCCCACACAGATGCATTAAACGATGGACAAGTAAGCTACCAGTAACAATGGCGGTGAGACCAGTTCCATCGATTCCTTTAGTAACATCTTCAGCTGTTGAAGAAGCAGCAAATCCAGATTTTCCCGTGAAAATTGAAATCCAAGTCATTTTTGGTGCTTTTTTTTGGATTGAAAACGAAAACCCACTTACAAGAATGCTTTACAGAATTATAGAAAATATTTTCAAGCTGTGATTGAACTTGGATCGAACAATAACTATATATAAAGTTGCCGAGATTCGACGAAGAATATAATAATTAATGTAAACAGATACTCGCTCTTTCGCATCAAAGGAAACAGGAAAATTCATGGGAACATGAGACCAAGGAAACCTTCAACGGCTAATCTAAAATTCTAGAAGAACCAACTAAAATTTTCAGGTCCTTTGACATTCACGTATTGTCAGTTTGACCCCCTACACTTTGTAACTTCAAAGACGAGAACAATAACTAATAAAAGAACATGAAAGGGGTCAAATTACATGCAAACTCAAATTTTACACTAATGGTCAATGTAAATGTGTAAGAACGAAAAGGCCCACGACCTCAAATCGAGACCAAATGTGTGTGAATCACATGTGATTCGACTATTTTCTTATTCTATTATTTGATTATTGTTCTCATATATATATATATATATATATATGTGTGTGTGTGTGTGTATGTGTGTATGTGTATATACATGTAGAGCTTGGTTCAAATACTAACCAAGATTTTTGTGTTAACTTTGTTAACCAATCTTGGCCATTGATTCTTACAATAAAGAGTTGTGATTAATCATGATAAAAAATTAAAATTTTAAATTTACAATTTTAAAGAACATATATGAACAAAGGGAAAAGGGTATTTAGGTAATTTTCTTTTTTTATGTAACTCACATATCATTAATTGGGAGTTACAAAATCAAAAATTCTCATTATTTTTATTAATTTATTTTTTTTAATGTAAGAACCATATGAACACACACATGCACACACACACACACACACACACATATATATATATATATATATATATATATATATATATGTGAACCATTGTGTCAAATACGAACAAAAATTGACATATATATGAACTTAGACTATATAGCATTTATGAACACAATATGAATATAATAATAATAGTTGTTACACGAAAGTAAATAAATAAATAAATAGGTATGAACACAATATGAACAGTTTGTGAACAATAATTTCTTCATTATGAACACATTCAGGAGTAAGTCAATGTTGAGATATGTAGCTAGTGTACATATGAACACAATATGAACAGTTTGTGAACAATAGTTTCTTCATTATGAACATATTCAGGAGCAAGCCAATGTTGAAATATGCAGCTAGTGTACATATGAACACAATATGAACACTTGTGGACAATTCTTTAACAATTACATATGAATTCGAATTCCGATTGTAGTCATAGACGATTTTAAACTTTTCATTCTCATTGTTATCGATCTGTTTTCCAATAGGTTTATCCATATTACTCGGACGATATCGAAATCTTAACAATCGGAAATTCTTTAACAATTACAAAACCAATATCATTATGGATAGAATAAATCGAAATTACAAAACATGAACACGTATAAAAAAAATCAATATTACATAATCATCAATTATTGAGATTTTTAGATTTGTAACTCCCAAATAATGATTTGGGAGTTACATTAATGACAAATTACTTAATTGCCCATGTCATTAATATATGAGTCATATGTGAACCTAAAGAAAAGATGGAATATGATTTGTTGAGTTTGGTTAACAAAGTTAACACAAAAATCTTGGTTAGTATTTGAACCAACCCCTATACATGTATATGTATATATATAACATGTGAGACTTTTTTTTGAGAACCCATGAAATTATGATAACCTTGATTAATATATATTTGTTTTACATTATGAATCTTTTTTTTCTTTATCTTGTTTGTGAAATAAAAATTACATGTAAAAAGTTCTACATTTTAAGCCAAATATATATCTTCAGTGAAACAAATATATGCACATCAATGCTAACCTTGGATAGAAACAAAATATCATATGAAACAATATCTTAAGGTAAAAATTTACACGTTATCACGACGTGTGATGTTCTCAAATGATTAAACTCTCGTATAACATAGACCTTAAGTTTTAAATTGCCGTGAAATTTGGGGGAAAATCATGCAAAAATAAAGTGAAGGGGCTAAAAGTTTAAATTGGCACACGTCACTGCTGATTCATCATGCATAATGTATATTGTTTTGGCAATCAAAATGAATAAAAAAGTCAACATTGATATACACACCTACGGTCAAACAAAATCAATGTTTGCGTTCTAACAATTTTCCCTTTTTTTTTGGTGATAACACATGAGTTCCATGCTATTCTTCTTTATAATTATTTGTTTATTTTTTAATAATTTTATTAAAAGGTAAAATCTAAATTGTTAAAAGGTGAATCTTGTTAGGTAAAAAAAGTCTGCCTCTTAATGATTCTAAAAACTTCTGAATGATTTTGTATCTTGAGCTACTCTTAACCATTAAACGTTCTAATTTCATTGTAAACAATTATATTTTATTTAACACTATACCATGATAGTTTCTTAATCATTGAAATGAAAATATGTCTCGATGCATTACACGGATACCCTTCTAGTATTTAATGATTAGTTTTCAGTTTATATCAATTGATATTTAATAATATTAGTAATATTTAAATTTGTTTAGCATTCAGGACTTCTGACTTTCACTTTGGATAAACAATTTATATTTTTATTAAATTATGTTAAGAAATATGCACAGGATATCCTAACAAACATAAACTAATTAGGCAACCAATCTTGACCGTAAATTTTAGACTAAATTACATTTTTCGTCCTTATAATTTGTTACAAGTTACAAACATCGTCCTTATGGTTTGACGGTTATTATCGTTTGCTAATTTCTGTAGATTTTATCTCTCGCTTACTAACGGGCCTGTTGATCCAGTTTAGTTCTTTTTATCTTCTTCTTCCTCCTTAGCAGCTCTCACAACCATCGGAGGTTACTACAACCACACATACATCTGTTGTTGACCCCCATCTTCTCACCATTCATGGAGATCTTCTGGTTAACCAGACCCACCAAAGGGATTCATGTGAATTGCGATTCAATCTTGTCTTTCGAAAGCGTAAACGGGGGCGACATGATCCCTGCATTGAGACTTCTAACACCAAATGATCGATGGAACTAGTTCATCGGTAACGGGTTCCAACTTAAAACCGAATGAAATTAAGATTGTATAAGATCTTACGTTAGGATGTTCGACGGAAATCCCATCGAACGGATTCCTGAGAGCTAACGTCTAGCTCCATCATGTCGAGTTTTGCATTCGGGATTTTCTCGAGAAGGTTTTCTTTCACTTTTGTACCGGATTCGACGTTTCTAACCGGCATAATTAATCACATGAACGCCACGCAAAGCGAGCACACGAGTCGTTTCTAACCCGATACCACTTGTAGTTCCTAATATTCGCGTATTAGAATTTAGTTTCTGTTCATTTATTCGTTTAGTTTCTAACGGTTCAACATAATACACTACAACAAAATCGGTTTTACTGCGTCGTTCCAATTTTTGTGGAGGTTGTGCTATATCTATACCAAGACTATAAATCGACCTAACGAATAATAAACAAAATATAAAAGTTTATACTAAAATACTGAAGAAAAAGAAGGTTTTGAGAGTCATCTTCTTCACCGAACCTGAAAGATGGAAGAAAGACTATAAAAGGTTTAATTACCGGTGATAATGGAGGTTGAAATGCGATGACTCCGGGTTATCTGCAAAGCAGGTGATCGTTCTGGGATTAGTCAGCTCGCATAGCGGGTTGGATATCCAGGTTAATTAAAAAAAATTACAATTGCGTCGATTCCTTTGGTAACATTTTCAGCTCTAGAATTTGCTGAAAGCCCAGAGAGCCCATTGAATATTGAGAAGATCCAAGTCATTTTTCGATCCTAAAAACTTGTTTTTGATCCAAAATCTGAACAACCCACTTGCAAAAAGCGTTGGTATGATGAATATATATATATACATATAGGTTTGCAAAGTTTCATATATATATATATATATATATATATCAGAAATGTAAGAAAAGATTTGAACCATTGATTAATTTTAATCTCATGAATTACGTTTTAGAAGATAATTGTTATGTTGTATCTCATTGCACTTTATTAGCGTTGATATTCAATTAACATTGATCTAAGGGTGGAGATCTTTTTTTACACTTCCTACCATAACTTCTCTTCTCTTCGAATCCAATCCTATTATTGAACCTTCATAACAAGACACCTTGGAGGTAAACCTGTATACTGATTTTGCTGTAAATGTTCGATATTTTTTAAACCTTGAGAGTGTTTTGTGGTGAAAGATTCAGTATTATTTTATGGTTTCATAAGAAAATAAATTGGTCTCATGAGTGTGTATATATATATAGAGAGAGAGAGAGAAGTGGATTATGAGAAGGGCATTGAAGAGATAAATTAAAGAGAAAAAGGCTCCACCTTTTAACAACCTTGAAGTAAACATCATCATTATATATCATACAGTGGAATGAAGTAAAGCTGATTATGAATATATATATATATATATATATATATATATATATATATATATATATATATATATATATATATATATATTCTTTCTCTTTTGCTTTATGCAAAGTGTGGGTATAAGGAGTATGACCTTTGATAAAATTATATAGAGACAAAAAAATTAAAGTAGCATATTAGGTATGGAAAGTTGTAGCTAGTGTACAAGGGAGCTAGACAGGTTGAGAGGGGCAGGGGCAGGCGTCAGTGCCGGGCAGGGGCGGAACGAGAAATTTTTCTAAAGAGCTAAGAAAATTTATGATTTCAAGGTTGAGAAATCTTTTTAATAAATACTTGTCCTAAAAATAGTTGAAAAGCATGAGTGACAAACAACATAACTATAGTGAGCCCATAAATAAGAAAACTTGTTTGGAAATACATTCTAGTTTTAGCCAAGATAGACAAGACGACATTTGTTGAACTCATACCTCGAGAGGCCCATAATCCCATCCCCCGTTAGGTTAGGTTAGGAATGGTATACCGCTCTTGCCCCCTTTCATAAAAAAATGGAAAGTAGTAAGCCCATCGTGAGCACGCCAATCAAACGACGTGGGTCCATACCTCGTAGCTGGGTAAGGTGGAGGATTAATTACGATTAACTTCCGCCTTACCCACAAGGGAAGCGGCAACAACTATTAGCTATGATTGTTTTTGTTACTTAGATGCCTACAGACGCATGATCAACGAGGTTGGCAGTCTAGCATCGGCTCTACGAACTAACAAGGGGTTGGACGCAAGTGATAGAAGGGGTGGTGTGGCGGCTAGGCTGGAGGGGGCTCGTCAGGGGGAGTACTCCTTCCCTTACGGGCCCCATGGATGGAGTAGCGTATTTCGAAAGAGGAAGACGGGGGCAGTCAAGAGCTGTTGTTGTACTTGTTCACTCATCGTGGAAGTAGTGAGCCCACCATGAGCACGTCAAGGCTACATCGAGAGTGCTCCTCACCCAAGGCTCCCTCTCTGGTTATGTTCATTCTCTTTCACCCCTTTTCTTTAATTCATAACATTGTAATATAAATACCAAATCTTTAATGGCATTCATATATGTGAATATTATTCAACACATAGAATATAAGAGGAACGAGTCCAACTGTGAAGCCCAATTGTCAGGTCAATATACAAAGCAACACCACACCATTTAAGCTATAAAAGGTTATGGGCTGAACCCATGTGGTCTGGACTAAACCCAAGTGGGTTCGGCTGAGTCAAGGCCCATCTGTCACCATGCAAAAGTCGCCTGTTTTTTAGAGTGCAAAAAACCTAAGAAGATCCATGTTACCAGAACCAGAATAGAAGAGATGATTTCATTCCATAGGGAAAAAAAGGTTGGTGACATACAAGAGTTTTCTTTTTTCAACTGAAATCAATACAACACCAACTCAGGGGTAGATAGGTAATTTACACACACATTCATCAACAGAAGTACACTAAATCCACATTTAATTTGGGTACAGAGAGATTAATAAACAACAATCCATTCCATAGGGGAGAGAAAACAAAATCAAAACCAAATCAAAGTTTATGATCTGCTCTTGAAGGGAATGGCTCTGATGACTATCACATGGTACAGAGCAGCCAGTGTAGCTCCAATGAAGGGACCAACCCAGAAAACCCACTGCAAAAACATCAACAAAGTTAAAACTTAAATCAAGATTTTCTTTCCAAATCAAAACCCTAATCTTGATTAGTAATATTAGTTTACTTACATGGTCATCCCATGCATGTTTCTTGTTGTAGATGATTGCAGCCCCAAGACTTCTTGCAGGGTTGATCCCAGTTCCGGTGATGGGGATGGTCGCCAAATGAACCAAGAACACCGCAAACCCAATTGGCAACGGAGCCAAAATCTACATTCGAAAACACAAAGCAAAACCCTAATTAAAAGGTCCAAACTTTAACTGGTATGAACCACAGTTTCTTTATTTATTGGTCTGTAGAATCCAATGTACAACTATTCCTCCTAAAGCTATGGAAATGGACCATTTAGAAAAGGGTTTACTTTATTTGCAGTGAAGGAGGGAAGACTTTATTACTTTTAGAATGACAAAAGGTACAACTTTAATTGCATAAGATACTACCCTAATCCAATCATAATAGATTTGACCAACCATAGCCACAAAACCACTAGCAAACAAAAGAAAAACACAGTGCACATGCAACCAAATCATCTACACATGCATATAGATATATGCCATAGATAGAGACATATAACCTACTACTTACCTACTCGTCCATTATTCACAATGAATGTAATAATTATGTGCAATGAATAGCAGTGAATAGACAAGAGGAAAAAGAGACATACAGGGACATGTGAGTCTCTGGCACTTCTTTTGGCATCAGTGGCTGAGAAAACAGTGTATACAAGCACAAAGGTGCCAATGATCTCAGCACCAAGACCATCACCTTTGGTGTAACCATGGGCTACAACATTGGCTCCACCACCCAAGGTGTTGAATTGGTTCTTACCCATGAACCCTTTAACCACACCAGCACCACAGATGGCTCCAAGGCACTGCATCACCATGTAGAACAAGGCCCGGGTTACAGAAAGTTTTCGAGCCAGGAGCAAACCCCAAGTCACAGCTGGGTTGATGTGTCCTCCTGTTTTAACCAACACCATATATACATATTCAGCAAATTTAAAAAGATAAAATGGAAAACAAAGAGGGTTTGCTGAAAAAGAGACTGTATACAACAAACCCAAGAAGAGGTTTAACAGAAAAATGAGTCTTTTTTTCCTTTCGGAGAGAATCTTGAAGAACCCATGCCATTTAAGGCGTTCATCAGCAAAATATTAGGTCAAAATGGAAACTTTGAGGTAAACATAAACATTGAATTTCAAGAAAATTGATTGATTTCAAAACCCCATCATATACCAAGCTAGAATCTGATATAAAACAAACAAAAAGAGTTAAAAGACACTGCAAGTAGTATGGTTTCTTAGTCAAGACTGAGAGATTAGCTCAAAAGATGAAAAGGGTTATAACAGAACTTGTTGAATTTTGCATAGATGTAGAGAAATTAAACCCTGAAAGATGTAAAGTAGGTAAAATTCCTATAAAATCTACTAAATATTGAGACTTTAGCTCAAAAGCTGAAAAGGGTAATTACTAAACCATCATCTTGTGTTCAAAATCACATAGATCAAGAGGAACTATCACTAAACCATGTAAAAAGTAGGCAAAATATTCTCCTAGAAAGCTAAGATTAAGCACCAACACAAATAATAAACGTACATATGTTCTACCCTCGATAGCATGCTTTCTTTCTCAAGCTAAAAAGACGAAAAACAGAAGCAATTCTATACAAATTTATTGCAATTTCACATAGATCTAAAGTAATATCTTGGGGGTTTTCCAAATTCTGAACGTACAAACTGCAAATTAAGCACAAAAGTACTGAAAAACATAAAAGAAACCACATGGGTTCGAGAAAGATTGCAAGAAGTTAAAGATGATATATATATATATATATATATAGAGAGAGAGAGAGAGAGATACCTGAGATACCAGCAGTGCAGTAGACAAGGGCAAAGATCATACCCCCAAAAGCCCAAGCAATCCCTTGAATACCAACAGTACCACACTTTGTGGGAGATTTAACCACACCCATAACGGTCAAGACCGAGATGTACAAGAACAAGAAAGTGGCTATGAACTCGGCTATACCGGCTCGGTAAAAAGACCATGAGGAAAGCTCACCTGGCTCAAAGAAAGGAGCCGGTGGTGGTTCTTTGTAATCTTTGCTGTCTGATTGAGCCGATGTCCCAATGGGTTGGCGCTCTGAGAACTTGTTGGCTCCAAGCTTAACATCTTCTTCCTTGCCCTCCATAATTGAAACCTTTCTTTCTCTGTTCTCTTTGTTTCAGATGGGTTCTGTGAAGATGAGAGTTTGTGAGGTGAGAGGATAAGCTTTGTGGGGTTTTATAAAGGAGCAGTGGAGAACTCTCATGTAACTTCAATGTCTTAATTGTCCATTTTTCATTAATTTCTAATCTAATCATTGAGTCTTTTCAGCATCATTTGGTACAGGCTTGATTTTAAATCAATATCTTTAAAATTATTACTATTGCCTTCTTGTTTTACCTTCGTTACCATACGTATCGACATAAGGCCTATTTTTATAACCGTTTAAATAAGAAAATTAAATATAGTAAGAAAATATTCATATGTGAATTATTGAAAAAATATTTTTAAAAATTCATGTTTAAATTTATGTTATAAATCATTTATATATGTATTTTAAAACTGATTTTTTTTAATAATTCACATATAAATCTTCTTTTTTCATAATATATAGACTTCTTATTTGAACTTCCGTTACTAAAAGGATTTTGATAAAATAAAGTAATATTATGAGAATATTGTAAAAGTGGATTGAAAATCTTGTAAAAGTTTGTGGTTAATGGTGAAGTTGCTAGAGTGTGTGTTCTGGAAAGGATGTTGACAGGGTTTTGATGTTTTGTTTGTTTATATGTTGTGTTCTTATCTACTACAGAGTGTCAATCATAATATATATATATATATATATATATATATGCATATATTAATGTAGCTTTTTAATTTTTAATCTTATCTATACTATATTATAAAGCATTTGGCTAAAACTTTTAAAAACTCTTAAAACTCTTAAAATTCTTAAAACTCTTAAAAACTCTTAAACCAGATT